AAGGAAAACTCAGAGGAGGGCGGCGATGGACAAGGACGGAAATTTCATTCAGATTGTAAATCTTCTCTCAGAACATTGTCCTGTTCTCAAGCTGTTGGCTGGACGATCAGCACCTCAAGCCATACAGTACAACATATACAAGCTCAGAGGCACAAAATGAGATGCTTCATTTTGCTGGCTCAACCTGTGAGGATGAAATTCGTGCTGAAATTAAGTCAGCCGGTGTATTTTCTGTGTCTGCAGACACTACACTGATATATCGAATCAAGACAAGCTTATCGTTGCTGTAAGATATGTCAACCAAATGGGCATCCCATGCGAGAGACTGGTTGAAATGAAAGACCCTTGATAAAACTGGTGCTGGAACGGCTAAAGATGTCATAAAATCTTTAATGGAAAATGAAATCGATATAGATATGCTTGCATTTCAAACATACGATTTCAAAACATCAATGTCTGGACGACTAAATGGTGCTCAAAAAGTGTCGCAAGAAATTTTAAAACGACAAGTGCCTTACATCCCGTGCCAGGGACATCGGTCTAATACATTCAACGAGCATTGTTGCAAACATAGCTCAATAATTACATCAATGTACGACGCTCTAGAAGACGTATGTGTTTTTTATCAAAAGCACAAAAAGAAATAAAATTATAGAAGAAAGTTGCAAAGATGTTGAAAACAATTTAAAGTTTCGAAACTTCTCAAAGACGAGATGGGTTTATAATTCTGAGTCCATTGATGCTGTCTGGAGAAGTTATGAGGTAATACCAAATGCTATTGTGAAAGTTATCAATGCTCGAGATGTAGAATCAAAGTAAAAGCTAAAGGCGATGGAATAAAAAGAAATTTTTAGTTTCGACTTTCTTTTGCTCTTATGTTCATGCGAATCATAATGACAAAACCAAAATCCTAACCAAACAACTGCAGGAGGAGCTAAATATAGTAGATGCACTTAACCTGATTGATGCTACAGTAAAAAACCTTAGACAAATTCGAAGTGACGAGAACGGATTAGACTCGAAGATAGAGGCAATGGTTGCATTTGGAACCAAAGTAGGAATAGACGTAATGGCAGAATACACTCGTCATCATCGATCAAGAAAGCCACCCAAACGAATTGGCGAGTATTCCGAAATAACAACAGAAATATCATTTAAAGATTTCTACCGAAAGGAAATGTACTTGGTTCTAGACTCACTTATCACCGAGTATACCGATAACATTAAAGATTGCATCGACAAAATAAAACCTCTTGGAGAGCTTACAGCTGCCGCTAGAAAGGCCGATGGCTGAAACAGTCAATGAAATTTGTAGTCTTTTCCACAGGCGGTAAAGATGTTGATGCAGAAATACTGCTGTTGGAGTTGGAAACTTTCAATAATATTGTGTCAACACAACTTAAATCAGAACCTAAATCCCTTCAAGACGTTGCGTTATTTGCTTTCAAACACAAAAACGTCTTTCCAACAGTGTGCAAGGCGTATCGACTATTGCTGACCGCTCCAGTGTCCGTGGCAAATAATGTGGATAAGATTAAGTTGAAATTATTACCTTGTGAAATAAACTCCATCAATAAGATTTGATACAACCCTTGGGTCTGTGTTGTATTCTTGAAGAACCTTGATATCACATGGTTTGGCTGTGATCTTGAAAAAGATACCATGGGACAAACGTTGATACAAAAGATATCACGGGATACACGAGGATAAAAGATATCATGGGGATAAATGATGATACAAAAGATATCACGGGGATAAATAATGATACAAAAGATATCACGGGGATAAATAATGATACAAAAGATATCACGGGGATAAATAATGATACAAAAGATATCACAGGGATAAATAATGATAAAACATACGTATCATGGGATAAACGATGATACTATAGATACTATAGGATAAACAACGACATCAAGGGATAAACGACTTTAATACTAACTGATGATATCTGAACAGGTATACCAGAGCTATTGAATATCTCGACGCCATTTAATCCAACGTAATACTGGTCACCCCAGGTTGTAAGAAAGTTTATGACAAGGTTTTGACCACTTGGTAACTCAAGAATTGTAAAATCATCAACTACACTACGTAAAAAGAAAGACATCTCTTTGAAGATATCAATTCAACAATTATAAAACTTTTTAAGAAATACAAAACAATTTTCGTGTTTCTAAGGAATAATAGAAACACAAGACAAAGTTTGGGAGAAACGAGAAATGCCTGCAACAAAAGCTATTCTTTGAATTGTTAGAGCTTCATTCCTATTACAACTGAAATTACCTTAAGATTACACCATCGTCTTGAATATGACTATCTTCGACAAGAAATTCGTCTAAAGCATCTCCTATAGAATGTTTATGATCACAACAGTTGATATGAACGTTCATTGGTCAATTTTATCTAGAAGTCAACTGACCAATGAGGTCAATTTTCTCTAGAGGTCAACTGACCAATGAGGTCAATTTTCTCTAGAGGTCAACTGACCAATGAGGTCAATTTTCTCTAGAGGTAAACTGACCAATGAGGTCAGTTTTCTCTAGAGGTCAACTGACCAATGAGGTCAATTTTCTCTAGAGGTCAACTGACCAATGAGGTCAATTTTCTCAGAAGGTGAGCGTCCATTGTTTAATTTTTACTGAAGGTTAACAATCATTGGTCAGTTGGATTCCATTTAACGCGTCCACTTCAATACTAACGAGTCTTCTTCAATACTAACGCGTCCATTTCAATACTAACGCGTCCACTTCCATACTAACACGTCTACTTCAATACTAAAGTGTCTACTTCAATACTAACACGTCTATTTCAATACTAACAAGTCCACTTCAATACTAACGCGTCCACTTCCATACTAACACGTCTACTTCAATACTAAAGTGTCTACTTCAATACTAACACGTCCACTTCAATACTAACAAGTCCACTTCAATACTAACGAACGTTAAATTGTGTATCAAAAAACTACCTTGGTGATCCATATTAATCTTCATCGAAGGAGTCAACCGTCCTTCTTCTAGAGATTCTTCTAGCCATTTTGAAACAACAATTCTCATTCTCATGATTTCATTCTCATTCGTAGCATTTTTCGTTTTTAAGAAAACGAAAGCTGAAAACGAAAGCTACGAAAAACAACGACATGAAGAAAACGAAAGCTACTAGAAAAAGAAACAACGACATGAAGAAAACGAAAGCTACTAGAAAAAGAAACAACGACATGAAGAAAACGAAAGCTACGAAAAAAAAAACATGAAGAAAACGAAAGCTGAAAAAAGAAGCAACATGAAGAAAACGAAAGCTAAAAAAAAGAAGCAACGACATGAAGAAAACAAAAGCTACGAAAAAGAAGCAACGACATGAAGAACGAAAGCTACGAGAAAAGAAGCAACGACATGAAGAAAAAAGCTACGAGAAAACAACGATATCATTTCTATTTCAAAAATGGCTATTTCATTCTCATTTCTATTTCTATTATCTATTCTCATTTCTCTTTTTTTTAAAGTTTTAACATCATACTACGTAATGAAGACAACTTAGACTGTGGCTGTGACAATAGTATATAGAGGGACTTAAGATTAGACTCAAGTTATCTAGTTATTTCTGAATATGACACATGACACGACTAAACATGACCTCTTCATGACTCTAGACTAGTAGAAATTAAATATCAAATCACTCTTGATGTAGTATGTGCGTAAGAATCAAAGTTTCAACATTATGTCACTGCCGAAGAAGCCATTATATTGGGGTGTATAATAACCCAAGAATGAACTCTTAAAAATCAAGTTGTAATAATTGCTTAAATTTGAACCTAGGGAGAAGTCAGTAGACATGGAATAACACCTTGAATTATCACAAATTACCTTACCTGGGAACAACTGGCAATTTTACTTGTAGGCAATCCAATATTTGGCGCCCAGGCCACATCACACACCCAATCGCTATGTGCTTCCAGCTTCTCTTCCTCTTCCCACTGGCCATCAGTTGCACTTAATTAATAATGGAGAGATTACATAGAAAACCACGCTGACTTTTGTAAATTGCTGTTTTCTGAATAACATAAAATAATGGAAAACAGTATGGGGTTTACAACGCAAGTCTAGGAGGTGAAATTAAAGGCAATAAAGACCGTTAAAATAGAGTTATAATTGTTATCAAAGGAAAAACAAAACATGAACACAATATAAAATCCGTCGATCATTCACGATGTTAGTAAGCCCTTAATAACCGAGCACGAGAATAATAAAAGGTTTAATAAAGGTGTAAAAAACGTTCTTTCTTTTCTCGTTCTCGCTGCTTTACAAAGACTTGTTTTCACTCCTCCACTCTTCGTCCGCAAAAAAATGATTTGAAAATGTGTCCTCCAAAAACTAATTTTCTGAGTGCTCTTCCTTTCCCTTACATTCCTACATGATTTTTCTTTTTTTTCGTTTCACAAAAATTTTAATGTTTGCTTCACGAAGCTAACATTTATTTGAAAAATTACATGCAATGGAGCGCTGATCCATTACAGGAAAGTAATTCTGCGCCAGCAAAAATACTTCTGAGCCAATCAAAACACGCCATTTCACCGGAAGTGTCGCTTGCCATATAAATATACATAGTTAAAGTACCTCATCTTCCATATTTTTACCAAACTATCGCAGCCTCCAGTCACTAATCGTTTCTCTATTTCGCCACGCTTCGGTTCATCAGCAATCTAAAGAACACGAAATTATATTCAAATCCCACAAGTCATGCACCATGTTCCGTCAAAAATTGTTACTCTAAATCAAACATGCTTTTAGCTACAGTCTGATTTGAAAGTTTAAAGTCGTTCCTATGAAAAGTAACTTTTCAATGTTACAATGAAAAAATGTTCAATTCTTTAGTTAGTTTCCATATTATGTAATACTACTTACATTAAAAAGGGACCCAGGATGCGTCGAAGGCGCCCAACTGACAGCATTACATCCAATCTAGAAGAACATTAAAAATTGCAACACAGAAAAGTTTCAGTACATGGGCCGTTTGTACGAAAGGCGTTTTAATCATCGTTCAAATCGCTATCTACCATATAAATTTCAAACGCTTAATTTAAATTCATTTCACAATACGTTATGGTGTGTTTTATGTGACATCAAAGCAGTGGCAACGGGTGGAGAAATACTATTACTTCTTACTGTGTGTGCATTGTTGATCTTTTTTACCTGCCAGTGTCCGTCACCTACGGTACAAACAGAGTTTCATTAGAGCAAGATATTTTCACATGAAAATAACAAAGTCTTTTCATTAATTAATATCGTAATATTTTTACCAGTCTTTTGTCTTAGTAAGGTAAATGATTCTTTAAGACAAGCATACATTCATAAATTTACGAGGTACGTATCTTGTCATCATACGTACAATACTGCTATATTTCTATGTTTAAAAATATCGTATACCTTCACTTGATATGATTGAAACACTTCCATCTGAGGAGCCACAAGCCAGCATCAATCCATAGGCTTCGGGAGCCCAGCAAAGAGAATTCACTACAAATGGTATAGTAGTTATATAGGTGCTGTGTATGCTAAATGTGATTCCTAAAGCATGGTATATGGACCATATGCGTGTGTTCTGACCCTACGGATGAATTGCAAGACATGTATGTCAACTTTGTAAAGTAAACTGTAAGATTCGGGCATGTTTTGGCCGTTATTTCGGAGATGGCCAATGGATAGATGTAATTCTACAACTAGTTGACCGGTCACAAAAAAATTTGGTGTGTCAAAGCAATGAATATGGCTGGTTAATGACCACTGACCAACACTTCTTGGTAACCCGAGAGGTAGGGTTACCAGTAGCGTAGCCAGCCTGGGGATTTACTCCTAATAGTAAAAAGTCGGGCTAACTAAGCTACTGATGGTGATGTGTTGATACCTGATGAATCGTGGTTGATAAATTCTTGCAGCTTCATCCATCCATTACTGTTTTCTTTCCAGATAATTACCTACGTACCACAGTTAAAATATTGTAACGTTGAGCCGTATAACGGTCAGATTTGGATCCTCATGTCCCTCGGTATATGCACTTGCGCCAGGAAATCATACACTTGCCACGTATCGTTATTGTTGCATTATATTTAATCATACGAGTTTATATACAATTTTACTATGCTCTATTCATCTCTTGTCTTGTCTTGTCTTGTCTTGTCGTGCATTTATGTAATAACTAAAGGGAGTGTTCTCCGTCATGTCCTGCACGTAATAGTGGGATGACTTAGTTCATTCTAAGCGCGTTATAGCTGCTTTCATGCTTTGTGGTCGGGCTTGTGTGGTTAGCTTGTAGCGCGTTGTTGTGCTTACTCACATCCTATATCCGTTGACGCACAACAACTATGACTAAGCTTGATTCGTCGCTACACTACCCCTTCTTAGAAAGCATGTCCCATGCGCTGATAAACCTAGTATGTGATATATGTCTACTAAATCATGCAAAATTTAAACAATTAAAATCATGTTGTTCAGAATATTCAGTTTATGTCTACGTCAAAATCCGCCATCCATCCGGGAGGTCGAATTTGACGCCGTGGTCGGGACAATGAAGGTTGCCGTTCCTCATGTATGGGTAGTTCGCCCTCATGTATTGGGTTTGTGTACTCGAAGACAGGTGAGTCGTGGGTGTACATAAGATCAGTTTCGTCCGGAACGTAACGTTGCTCGTTGACACGAGGTCGGTCATCTTCATGAACACTCTGTCCACGCGTTGCTTGAGGGTGACTATTCTCCACAGAATTGATTGTGCAATGTTTCAACCGATTGTAGTGAACAATTTGCTTTCTTCCTTCTCCATTCTCTGCCCCAATCTTGTAATTCACGTCAGAAAGTTTGTCAAGGATGACAAACGGTCCTACCATGGTGATCGTAACTTGCGTGACTCACCTTGTTTCATTGCGGAATTGAGAAGCCAAACACAATCGCCGATACCAAAACCATCACCAGTACCGCGAGCGTCATAATACCGCTTTTGCCGCTTCTGTGCTGTTTTCAGGTGTTCACGAGCTAGATCGTGCGCTGCCACGAGGCTGTCTCTCAACTCCTCGACGTACGCGTGCACATCCTTTGATTGGTCAGGAGTGTTTCCGAACATCACATCTGCAGGTAAACGGATTTCTCGTCCAAACATTAGCTGGTATGGAGTAAAGCCAGTTGATTCCTGCACACTCGATCGGTAAGCCATCATTACTCGGGGAAGATGTACGTCCCAATCCTTTTGATGTTTTGCTACATATTTGGAAAGCATCGCTTCAAGAGTTCTATTAAAGCGTTCAATCATTCCATCTCCCTCCGGGCGATACGCCGATGTGCGAGTCTTATGGATTCCCAAAAGCCTACACACTTCTTGGAATAGTGAAGACTCAAAATTCCTACCTTGATCTGTGTGGATGGTATCTGGTGCACCAAAACGGCAGATGAATTCGTTCACCAACTTTTCCGCAACTGTATATGCCTCTTGGTTTGGAATGGCATAACTCTCCGTCCATTTTGACAAGTAGTCGCCAACCACCATGATGTATTTGTTGCCGTTTGTAGACACTGGTAAAGGTCCCAGTATATCGATTGCAATTCGTTCTAAAGGATAACCAGGGGGACAACTTACCAGTGGTGCCCGATTCCCTTTTGTTGCACCCTTACCTACAGCGCACTTTTCACATTTCATCAACCATTCTTCGACATCTTGACGTTGACCAGGCCAGTAAAATCTCTGTCGTACTTTCGAGAGAGTTTTTGTTATGCCCAGGTGACCGGAAGTTGGACTGTCGTGCAGACTTCGTAACACATCGTTCACTAAACAACGAGGTACTACCAACAGGGGCTCCGTCGTTGTGCCATCGTCATTTTCCTAACGACGATACAAAACACCGTCACGAATTTCCAAAACGTCCCAATGTGAACACAAATTGTGCACAGCTCGGCTTAATCCTTTTAATTCTTCTTTTCGTGGAGGATCTACCTGGATCTCCTTCTTAGACAACACATAGCAAATCGTAGGGTCAGCTAACTGTAGTGATCGTAACTCAGCGGACGTCCACGTGGGACACCAAGCTTCCTCAGAATTCGTCCGTTTTTCAAGTTCTATATTTCCTACGTTATGAACTTCGATAGACGGGTTGGGCCGTCGTGACAAACTGTCCGCATGTCCATGTCGCTTCCCAGGTCGAGACTGCACCTTAAAATCAAATTCTGCAAGTTTTTCTAGCCAACGTGCTACTTGCCCGTTTGGTTCTTTAAAGTTCGTTAACCAACGTAAGGCGTCATGATCCGTTCTCGCAATGAAACGTAGTCCGTACGGATAGTGCCGAAATTGTTGGGTATAGAAAACTAAAGCCAACATTTCTCGTTTCGTCACTGAATAGTTACGCTCACTCTTGCGTATCTTTAACAGGGTGTTTTAATGGTATACCCCTACGGCCGTTGTAATTTATCGTTTTTACTTTTCTAAGCATATCTAAAGCTTTGTTCGTAAGTTCTATATCATTATCAGCATATTGAAGTTCTTGTCTTAGCTGTTGTATTTTATCATGCTGTTTGACTTCATTTTCATAGAACGCCTCTTTAGCCTTTGATAAGTCCTCTAGAGCCTTGTTGTGACGTTTCATTTCCTCAGCATAACCGTTTTTATCAAGTTTATGAAATAGCCAGCCTGCTAGGGAAAAACCTAACCCATTAACAACTGCTCCTATAGATGTTGATAATCCACTAGTAATAACACTTGTCATATATATTTATACAGATTTAACTGGATTTTCAGGAATCCATTTTTTGTCTTGAGCATATTTAACTAGCATTGTTGATGCTGTAACAGCAATAGCTAGTTTTGCAAAATCTTTGATACTGTTTGTGTCTGTTAATTTTTGATCTAGTAGTTTTTTAGACGCCATAGAAAGACCTACAGCAGTTGTTGTCACAAGCACTGCATCAAAAGCTTCATTCATAAATTGTTTCTTAGTCATAGTATTACTCATATATAATAGGAAATATTTTATTCAAATGAGTCTAAATTATATTGTTTATTTTTTTGTATCAAAACATGTTTTTCACTAGTTGTTTCTTCTCTCGCTTTATCGTTTGTTAATTTTTCCTGTCTTTTATCATCTTTCCGTGCATAATAGAGGCTAGCAATAGCGGTTATCACTCCAACTGCTCCAAATAAGAATCCATAATTAATATTCCAGCTATCATCCTCAATTTTCTTTTTATTTTCTAATTCAATCCTATCTCGCATCTTTTTTTCTTTAGAAGCTTTCGATATAGCAGCCAAGCGTTTCCCAGCTTCAACCCTAAATGGATCTTTCTCTTTCTTAACAGTAGTTATCTTTAAGTTTTCTTCAGACATGTTATATAATACTGTAGATTTTGTTCACAGGTAACTAACAGATAATCTTATAGATAACTCACAGATAACTTATAGATAACTCACAGATAATCTTCTAGATAACTTACAGATAACTTACAGATCATTATATTTTTTGTTATATTTACTCACCATACCATCTATAGTAGTACAAAAGTCGATTATAATATCATCGATAACTTTTATGTCTGATAGAAATATCAATTCATCATAAGCTAATCCTCTTAAATAAGATCTTATAGTCATAAGTATTTTTTCATATAATTTATATGCAAATTTACACATTTCTAAGTTATTATTAATTTTACTTTTAACAATATAACCTTGAATTAAAGCCCCTAAACCACTCAAGGTGGCTATAACTATCGGGTTTACGGTTACACTGCCAGCAATTGCACCAGTCGAGACTAGAAAAATACTTCCCATGTTTAATGATAGTCTAATTTTATTTAATTTATTATACTTCCATTTATAACAGGTATACATCTTGTGATAGTATAAATACAATTTTTTCAGCTTTTCAAATTCCTCTTGACTCAACTCACTCGAAATATGATTAAAATCTATAACTTTTTTCATATTATATTATAAGACGTATTTAATTAATATAAATGATGATAGCGTTGATATACCGAGTAAAGTAATCATATCTGTTTGATGGGGATTATTTACTATCATTTTGTATGTTTATGTACTACTGGTTTTTTATGCACTTCATCTAGATTATCTAGGTGTTGTGAGGTTGTATTATCTTGATGTACTTTTTTTCGTTCTTCCTTTTCAACTCCATAATAATTTATTTTAGAATTAATACCGAATTTCATAGTTTTATTAGCTAATGTTAAAATATTATTATACCCATCAATCTTTTTATCTAAGAAAATCATACGGCTGGGTATTAAAATCATACCAGGGCTGATTGCCATATTTAAAATAACATTCGTGTCTTTTATACTCTTTCTCATGTTAGATATCAATACAGTCGTATCATTCTGTACTATAGTATCCTCTAATAATTTCCTAAAAACGGTTTGAGTTTGCAAGCTCTTAGCTCCATGATTAACTATTACCCATCTTGTATTTGCCTGTGAACCAAGAATTGTATAAACAAAGCTTTCAATGCTCTCCTGCAAAAGAACTTTTCCGATTTTTGTAATACCTTCAGAATTATATGCAATGAAGTTCCTATAATCAGTATTTGAATATTGAAAATTAACATAATATCCCCAACCAGTTTCTCCATCACCGTCTTTAGTGGGTGAGAATTTTAAAATACCTTTATAAGGTATATGCTTTTTCAATTCCGTAAAGTCATATTTGTCTAATAACGATGGATGCTTCATAAATTTTCGGATCTGATAATACAAATGGTATTTAACAAGGCTTTGTATAATTCTACTTTTATTAAAACTTAAATGATTAAGCGCAATACCACATAAAAAACTAGCAACATAAGCCCCACAAATCATAGCGTAGTACGCTTCTTTTTTATAATTTAAATGACTTTTAATATTGTATCTTATACCAGTCGGCTGTTCTTTTTTACTTTTAATTTCACTTGTCCACGTTGCTGTTATAGGTGGTAAACTACTCATAAAATAATCATTCTCTGTGACATAAAATCTGAAGTTACAGATGTCGACATTTACCGGCCTTTGAAATGTAGGTTTTACAATAAACTTTGAGGTCCAACGATGTAACATATGATCGAAATAATCCTGACTATGACCTTCATCCCCATTAAC